AATGTATTGGCGGCAGCAGCTTTTGGCATGCGCTTATTAAATGTGGGTTCAAAAAGGCATTGATAGACTCCACGGAGGCGGCCGGTCTGTCTCTTAATGTGTGATGAGATGAGCTTAGAGCCGTGGAAGAAGAAGAAGAGAAACTTAATTATCACGTGCCGCGAGAGCACCAATCAATAGGTTCGGGTTTACCGTGAGGGCCATTAGGGTCAGAGCCAGCTAGGGGCTAAAGTGGCGTACGCTTTTGTAGAGCTTACCACTGCGATGACAATAATGATTTGGAGAACAGAGCGTCGAGCGGCATCCGTGAAGCCGCATACATTGTGTCTGTGTGAATGGAAGCCCGAACTGTTCAGAGCAAAGGATTGTAAACACATCTCTGATACTGTGACACACAAGGGCAGTTTGAGCTACCGCAAATTTAAGACCCATTTTCGCCAATTGTTGTTCTTCGGTTCATTTACACACATGATGTTTTGCAGTTAGCGATTCTCATTTTGATACGCTCAGTCTTTCATTATCGTAGCTCTCATGGGGCATGTCTGAGACGTGTTCAGCTAACATTAGAACACACACTGCTAGATGTAGACTGTCATACATGGGCTTTGTTCGTTTGGTTTCAAATGTATGTGTACTTGATCAGGGATTTGCAGGTTTCTGAGCTGTAAAATGAAAGGATAATGTCATTACTTTCTAGGGAATTAACTTTAGGTGCTTAACAGCCCCTCATAGAATTTCTGTGTTGATGCCAAAACAAGCTCACATCTGTTACTGATTGATCATCAGAGCAGATTGTGATAAAAGACGATACAATCGCCATGGGCATTAAATCAAGACTTATAGGCTGCATAAACATTTATTAATTTTTATTTTTGTTATTACCCTTCAACACTATTCAAGTGGGATTACTTTTTTTTTATAAGCTTGATATATATTATTGATTTTTTTGTTTTGGTGATATTTTACCCAGAACACTGGCAAAAATGTCTCCACAATAAAATTCAGGCAGTGCAATGAGAAATGTATTTGACGAAGGTCAAAATAAATGAAGCTTTGAATTAAGTGGACCATTTTATTGCAACTGGATCCCTTTTTCCTGTCCAATATGTTTTTTTTTAACTGTCCTGGTCCTACAATATTGGCCTCTTTGCATAAATTCTGATAGATTCACAATACTAAAAACACTAAACTGAAAACATTTTCAGAAACTCTGTGGTTTCACACTAACTTTCTTTTAGTTATTAATGAGCAAACACATTCTGCTGTTTAACTGACAGCTTTAAAAGACAAGTTTTTTTTTTATTGTTTGTTATTTTTATTTTTTGAAATAATCTAAAAAAAATGGAGGCTTTGTCTTCCAATTATACACTTTGTCAACTGTAAACAGTATTCACACATAATACACACACGCTTGATGTCAAAATTGTGAGATTTGTTTAAAAAAAGCCTAGTTAATTGTCAACTGTTCTGACAGCAAACCAACATTCTTTTTTCTTCTTTTTGGAAACACTCCTACAGTTTGCTCTGATTTGTAAAGTTGTTTTTTCGAGAACAAAAACCACTGAAGTTCTTTTCCATCAGGAATAATGCATGCTCTTAATGAAGCCTGTCAGAAACAAACCCAAAATGCACTTTCCACTCAGCCAGATGTCAAGTGCATCTCTTGAGATCCATTTCACCTTAATAAGATCTTTTGCTTTGACGAATAAGTGAATATTTCATTGTTAAGTGATCTAGATGACGATTCTGTATACACATGGAAATAAATATGAGTGCACCATAAAACCATAAAAAATGTGATATTTGTGTATGAAAAAGAAAATCACTCATAACTAACAAACCAAACATTAAGCATATAAAGTCCTGCAAAAGTCAGAATGAAGTGAAAATTCCCAAAACATATTCCCAGCTCTGTGATCTAATTACATATACATATAGTCAAAATAACTATGCCTGTTTATATCATGATTTAAAGTTATGCTTATTAACTACAGAATAATTTTAGAAGAGTTTCTTAATAATTAATAACTGCAATAATCACAAGCGGTATACAGTGTTAGGAGGGTTACTTTGGAAATGTAATAGGATACAGAGTAATGTAACTGATTACATTTGATTACTTTTCTAAATGTCTAATGAATGGTTTCAACTGTTAATTATTTTCAAACATTACAAGAAGGCAGGTTTAACCTTACAGTAGTACTCAACACTGATTACTGTCAGACTTTCAAAATCCTTCATCGCTTGAATTAAGATTATAATCATTTAATTTTAAGAGTTCAGACTTTAGCACCTCTTTTTACTTTGAGATCTCTGAGGTTAAACACATTTAAAATCATAAGAAATAGTTTAATAGATATGATAGTGTTTTTGAAATAAAATCTTTGCATAGCTATGACAGAAAACACTGGAATCTAACAGTGTCTTGAAAATTTTGGGGGCGTGTTTAAACGAGGCGTTTTAGGAGGGCGTGGACGAGTCTTTTATAAAGAATATATCTTTGGGTTTGAGACTTTAGTCTTTACCCCTTTAACATGCAAGAATTCAGAGACAAAGGGAGTGAACAATTTGGAAGGACATACTGATGGAGAATTCACACTGCGCTTTTGCAGAAAGGTTTCATATACAACATTGAAGTAATTGCTGTCAGCCCAAGACGGTGCAATGGGAATACTGCCAGAGGCAAATAGAGTACAGTAGGTGTTCCAATTTAAAGACTCACTCAGTATGGGTTCGAGAGTGGGGATAAAGGGAAATTAACATATTAGCTGGCATATGGTTGTGATGAAAACCTAATGGCTACAGAAATGCAGTGCATTTTTAGCTATAATGATGAAAAACTGACCAGGTCAAACATAAGTTCCAACTACTTGCCTTACTGTGACAATAACATGTTCTTGGAATTTAAAGGGACAGTTCACCTTAAAATGCAAAGTCATCAATTACTTACTCTTATGTCATTCCAAACCATTTTAAGCAGCGGAAAATTCTGCTTTTGTGTTCGATGGAAGAAAGTCTAGCAAGTTTGAAGCGACATGAGGGTGAGTAAATAATGACAGAACTGTTCCTCCAACTTGGTCTACTGTGGGTTCTACTTTTCTAAGCCTCTTAGCCCTTTTGCATTATCTCTTTGTTTTCAGAGATGAATGAGTCTAAATAGGCAAATACGGCAGTGATTATTCATAAACAGAAAGCATCTTTAAAAGCTTTAAGAATTTTACATGAATATTCCGTTGTGTGAGATAAGGACATGTTAATGCTTGATTATGGGCAAACAAAAGTGCTGATGAGGTGAACTAATTATGGAAGCATAATTCAATGCCACATTATTAATTACAGAGATATGACCTGTGAGCACAACTCAAGAACACACACACACTTATAAACTCGCATAGTTCCAGAACAGTAAACTTGAGTGGTTAAAATTAGACATTAGAGCAAAGAAACATTAAGGATATGCAACATATTAAAAATAAGTAGTGCTGTCAATTTAATGTAATTCTATCAAATAAGTGCTTTGAAACATGCAACGGGAATGAATGGGGATGTTGAAAGCTTTTTAAAAGTGGCATTCAAGGCATAAGATGCTCAAGAAAACATTGAGATGCATTCAATGACAAAATGAGATGTGCCTCAATGTGTACAAAGACTGACAATTAAAAATGTATTCAGTGATTCACACAATAATAATGACTTAAATGGGTATTTCGCCACTGGAAAAAGGGGCTTTCAAAAAAACTTGGCTGCCTATGCTGTTGAGAGGAGAAAAAAAAAAGAAGAAGAATCACAAATATGGAGAGAGCAACACAACAGAAAACCTGAAAAACCTACAGTACGTGTTTGTAGCCTCTGTTTCAAAATAGATGATTACAAACAGTGTTTTGAGTGAACTAGAGAAGAAAAACTGAAATAATCAGTCATTCTGTCAGTTAACAAATAACCTTTAAAATTATCTTCTTTAAAATAACTAAATAGCCAAATTCTGGAGCTCTACTTACTTTAATAGTTTGGTTTTAGCATGTTGCTAAGCTCAGCTAACTGCGCTATTCTAGTAAACAAGAAAATACAAAGCAAACAAATGCTAAAAAAATGACTTTTTATAAGTACTATTCATTTTTGAATAATATACACAAATAATTATAATGAATTTCTCCAGTATTGTCCACTGAATTTAATCTATTTCCATTAAGCTTGTCGCTATTCAAATATTATTTAGTTTTAAACAAATTATACAAATATGTATACCGTATTCCTCCTGCATTGTCCACCAACTCTTATTCTTTTTTTCCCTCCAAGCTTGTCACCATTCAAACACTATTCATTTTTTAAAGAACTATACAGCTGTTTAAGAAACACCCTTGCATTAGCGTTAATTTTTTTTTTTTTTTGTAATTTGATGCAAAGTTAATAGAAAATAATTATAAATGTACACATAAAAAACGAAAATATAAAATAAAAAATCTTTGCAGGATTTGCAATGCTGATGACCGTTAAAATGCGTCATCACAGTCTGTGAAAAGAGTCCATTGTCCACCAACTTTCCAACCATTTTTTTTCACTAAGCTTGTCATTTTGCAATTGCCATTTCTGTGCAGCAATGTATGCTTTAGAACGTATTAATGAGTTATTTATTTGTTTGCTTACAGAGACAATTTAGCATAAATGCTTTTATATTTCTTGATAAGTATCAGTTAAAGCTACATTTCAACTGTAGTTTCTAAGGGAGATCTTCACCCCTGGATAACAATTTGGCAAAAAAACAAGGTATCTTCGAAGGCAGCATAATTACCGGAACAGCCTTCCAGTCGAAAGCGTGTCTATGCTGCTTCTGTAGGCAGCTCACTAGGTTTTGGAACGCAGCCTAGATTTTAGAAGAGCGCCTGTGTTGTGTTCCACAATGCTGTGTTACAAAAGGTGTTATATGATGAGAGAGCCGTGTAACTTATGTGAAGCGTGATGCTTAGGGTGTTTGAAATGTGAAAAACAAACTTGAGTCTCACCCAGAGTAGTTGAAGAGTCTGCTGTCCCAGAGGCTGTGTTCTCCACAGGGCCCGCTGTGGAAGAAACAGGAGTCAGAGCCGTCAAAGCTGTTCAGCCCGTCCTCTGTGTTCTTGGATGCGTGGCTGTGCACCACATCGAGCAGGACGATGATACCCAGAGAGTGAGCCACGTCAATCAGCTCCTTGAGTTCCTCTGGGGTGCCGTAACGACTAGAGAGAAGAACAGATGAAGGCAGATATCAAAGCAGTCTGGGCAGAGGTTGTCTGTCAAGCTGCATGCTCTTCGTCTTGGGCTAAGCTTGAAACTAGCAGCAGTCTGACTGTTAAGACCAGTTCTTTCAAAAGTATAGAGATATCTTTCTGAGTTTATCGCAAAACACAAGATGCACTCATTTCAGAATACAGAACATCTGCTTGCTGCAAGATGTGCTAAAGAAAATGTGAATGTGAAACACTGCTGGAGTCGGCTTTACAGTTAGAGCTGTAATGATGGCTGACGATTGCAAACTGTGATTAACAATGTTTTGTTCATGTTACTAACAGTGTAAGACAAATACACAAACAACTTAAGCCATTTGTTCTGAACTTAGATTAAGAATAAACATAAAATAGATAATAAAATAGGCCAAAATATGTTGCTCTCCAACATATGGTGCAATAGTGCTTTGGGCAACCCGACATTGAACCCCAGCTCGTGGTCTATTTCCAATCCATCTCCAATCCCATTTCGATCTCTCCTACACACGTCTTTAATGTCTTTCTTGTTCTATCTGAATAAAGGCAGAAAGACTAAATAAATAAAAAATAAATAAATAGATAGAAAATATAGGCCTATATGATTTCTTTTATAGCTTTGAAAACTTTAAAAGACATAAAAACATTTTAAAAGACATGAATAATAATAATTTGTTTTAATAATTTCAAATATTTCTATGATAAACTTTGGTCTTTAGCCCAATTAATATAATCAAAAATATCTACATAATATTCACATAACATAACATAACATAATATTAGGGCTGTCAAACGTTAACGCATGCGATTAATTTTACTATCATCAACGCCATAAAATAATTTAATGCAATTAAAGCAAAATTACTAAAGCACAATTTCTATTCTAACCCTTTAACCCAATTTTGCTTCTCTGCTTGCGATCAGTTCATTTTAAGCCGCTAAACTCCGGGAAAGTTTTCCAATGATCCAGTAAGCGAATGCATTCAAACAATCCGTCCAAAACAGCGCTAATATAAAGGAAACCAGGCTGATTACATCTGAGATTGCAGAGAGAACAGAGACTCGCGTTGCGTTTTCAGTTAATTATTCCAGTGTGTTTCGCTTTTAAACACGAGCTCTGTCATATTCTGTGAATGTCACTGAAGAGCGCAAGCCCTCACACGTCACACAGAATGAATGGATTGTCTCCCACCACTGTATGGCCAGATGAGATGCGACTGGATAACCAGTGTCTCGATAGTAAAGTTTTGATGGATGAAGACTGCAATCAAGGTAAAGACGATTGCGGTGGCATACAGGAGTCGTACAGTACAGTAAGCACACATAAGTCCGTTATAATAATGCGTGTATGAGTGCTCTTGACGCACTGATCGCACATTGTATTTATGCACAGGCACAGACATTTCCGTACATTCATGTTGTTTCCACACACATTCACGATAATGTTTTGATTTGTCATGTGTTTAGTTGTTCTGAATGGATCCGTGTACTGTAGTAGATATATGCAGTCAGCAGGCAGTTGGTTTAGGGTTTTTTTCTTGGCATCTCCATATGGTCCTGTTCGGTATCGCAACTTGACTTCTCTAAAATGTAAAAAAGATATTTGCTGTTGCACTGTACATATACTATACAATTCTGATTTCTTTAAGCATTTTTTTTTCTTTCATATGTGCTTATATGGGCTCCTTATATAATTTGTTTTTTTTTGGTGTCCTTTTGGAGTTTCTAAGTGTTCTTTTTTTATCTTAATTTTATTTTTGATTTTCGGAATCACCCTTCAATCTTTTGGTTTACTTTGCTGGATATAGCAAATAATGACGATGAAAACATTTGAAACAAGATAAATGGTCTATGCTTAATTTCATAAAGTATGCGATTAATCGCGATTAATCACAGAAAAAGGGTGTGATTAATTAGATTTTAAAAAATGTAAACACAATTTTAAACATGAAAAAATAAAAATAAAAACTTGTTTAATAGGAAAATGGTAGCTAAATTAAAGTTCATTTTCAAGATTACAAACTGAATGAATGAATGAATGAAAACATACATACATACAGAAATAATTTAAGTTTTTTCAAACAGAACATATTTGTGATAGTTTTAGATTTGTAATTTCAACATGAAAACTGGCATAACACTTCTCTGAGAAATGTAATTTTGTTAACACACCTTTGGCAGTCCAAAACTAAATAAATAAAAACAAAAAAAATAAATAAACTACAAGATACTGTAAAAAAAAAAAAAAGTTATAAAAGATCAAATTAAAGTAAAAACTGATGAAAACTAATAAACTGTAAAGGACAAACAGAAAATAATTGGAATGGAAATTAAGAAGAATAGGTATATAAGAATAGTTCCCCCGCAAACAAGGTCTGTCCAATCTTAAAATACTCTTCCAAACAGTTACACCTAATCACTAATCCAAAAGTTGACATGCTCATCCACTCAAAACAAACAAAGCAATTATAGTCCCCCTTAAGTGGCGCAGTGGCCATACTTCATGGATCGGCCTTTTGGGATTCAAACCTACAACCTTCTGGATACTATCCCAGATCTGCCACATTACGTATGTGTGCATGTGTCTATCTCAGAAAAATCCCCTCGACACAACAGCTGTGTTTAGCAGTGCCAGCAGAACAACACATGTGCAAATACATCAACCGTGCCGCCAATTGCCGTGTAAAAACAAACAAATATGGCAGTAAATAGAAATCAATCTCAGATCGTTTACACCGTCATGGCGGCTGAGCAGAGGTCAAAGCCTCCATTCGGGGTGACGTACTGCTCCTTGCGGAACAAAGGGCAAGAGCGGCGCGTTTCCATCAGCGCTTCCTCACGTATCTCCTTCGTGTAATTGCTCCAAGAAGCTTCATCTGTCCTCCAGCTATCATCAAATCGCTTTCCCCCGGCAAACGTGATGCAGGGTGACAACAATACCCCTCCCCTCGGCCTCCGCCCCCTTCCCAGCATCCAGACCTTGCACTTTTTAAACGGCTCAGGGAGATCAATCATGGGTGAAATTACTCTGTATACATTATACTCGCGCTATAGGCTGTCTTCAGTGCTATCCAGTAAGGGCGAGCGACGGAATAAAGCACATAAATAAAGAATTCCTGCCTGTCTTCCTTTATCTGAGGTCTCTACCTCTCCACAGGATTAACTGCAAATGTGTTTACAGGGAGATTATCGGCCCCGTCAGAGGAGCCTCTCTGTGATTTGGGGCCACAGATGTGGGACAGTGTCTCATGGTGTGTGTGCCTATCGTTTTCACTGAGGGGTGTTACATTTACCTCATTTTGAACATTAAGAAGATAAAAATTAGTGAATTGTACCATGTTATGGGCCTCAGGGCAGCATCCTTTTCATTGAGGGTCAACAAGTGCACCCTAGAGTTGATTTTCAGGGTCATTTTTAGGGTCATTAGTTCCTGCCTAGTATTCCAGATGAATCACTTATTAAGTTGCTTGTTGGTTAGTAAAGCTGTCTTCAGGGTGATTCACAAAGAATGTGTTTTTGCATTTAAAAATGTGAGATGCAGGGGAGAGGAATAGGAGAGGAATTTTTTTCTAATTAATTACATGATGTGCTGATTAATTAATCACATCAGATAATTTCAAGTCAATATTGGCAAAAATAACAATATTGTTAAAGTTTCGGAGAGTCTAGCAACAGCAAGATAACTTTGAAAGCATACGATCCCACCCTCCTTGCAAATCACTCTCCAAAGCTACGTCTCCTCCAAAACACATGAACGCGCACAGACAGACCAGAGACTAACCAGCGACACAATGAGAGACAGCGGAGGATTGAATGCAGTGTTAACATTGCAGTACAAAGCGTACAATATTACAATATTAACACTTTCCATTCTCTCTGGGTTGCGCAAAGGTATGCAAATACATACAGGCAGGTAGGACAGCCTATCGTAGCCCTCGGACCAAGGGATATGATTGGATGAACATTTTATGGTCCTACTACTTCCAGAGATAAAATATAAAAAAATTTCAATCATGACAACTCTCTGAAGATTTTAGCATGGTGATGGATATGACAATGTTAATGTAATTGGTCTTGGCGGAATAGATCTGCTACGCTGCTGCTGAATTGCTGCTGCTGTTGGTTATTGCTGTAGTTGTAGATTATTGCTGCTTCTGCTGCTGCTGCAAGCAAGTACAGGAACTTGCTACTGCCAATGCATATGGCGATATGGTGCCGTGAGTATTTAAGACATACTGCTGCTGCACAAATAGCATATAAAAAACCCCACAGCAGATCTATACAGGTGGAGCTGGGGAAGGTGGAGGGTTTCAGAGAAACTCTGAAAGTGCGCTGCAGGAATCTCTAGTGAATGCTAGCCAGCCATATAAATGCAAGGCAGTAAGCTCATTGGCTGCATATGCAGCATGAACCAATCAGCTTGTGCCAAGTCGTTTAACTCTCTGAATATCATCGGTTACGTTAACAATCCGTCGCCTGTGCCATCTAGAGTTTCATGACTGAACTATATATTTAGACCACTTAACTCAATGATTGTTTGGGATGTGAAGAGACTTTCAACCAGCATAACAAAAATGTTTTTTAACCAAATCACCTATTAATGAATAATGAAATATGACAAAAAAAAGAAATGATATTCTAAGGGCCAGATTTAATAACAGCTTGCGCCAGCGCAAACCATCTTTTGGTGTTAAAATCATACTGTCAGGATTTACTAAAGACGCGCAGAGAAAAATTAGTGCTGAAAAGGCATGGACACGGTTATTTTTGCGCCTGACCTTATTGAATATGCATTTGTAGGAGTTTCCTTTTTAGACGCAAAATGTATGGGAGGAGGGTATAATGTTGGTTTATGGAAGGAGAGTATAATGTTGGTTTTTATCCTTGTCTCAAATGCGCTGCATGTAAAAATGTACGCAAAAATGCTTTGAGTTTCGGAGTTGTATAACTGATCGCACATATGAAATTAAACAACTGGTATCATGTGTTTCCACTAATGTGATTTATCTGTTATCTTGTTTGTGTATAAAACAATATGTGGGTAAGACAAATAGACAAATTAGAACTCGGATCATTGAGCATATGAGCGCTATTAGGAGGAAAGATTTAAAATCGCCTGTGGCTCGCCATTTTGTTGAGATGTCTCATTCAGTCTTAGGGTGCTTTCACACCTGTAGATCGATTGCTTTGTTCTGAAACAGGGATTACAATTATTACAATGTTGCTTTTTATTCTTGGTGTGGGTCGCTTTCATACGTTAATGTTTCTAAACAGAACAAATTTGTTAATACAAGTCACACGCGAGTAAACTGTTCTCTCATTGGTCAAAGTTTCACGGTTTATTTTCCAGGATTCCACTTCACTGTCACAGCTGTCATCTGTCAGGATGGAACGATAACAGCTTCGCGGGCTTATTGTTGTTGTTGTTGTTTTTTTTTGGCATTATATTAATTTATCACTTTGAGCAGGAGTCCAGGAGCTCCAGAGTTTGTTTTCAATCGAGCCGAGACCACCTCGTTCAGGCAATCTCGGACCGATTGTTTTGGCGCGGATCCGAGCGCCATTGCCGTGTTCACATATGCCCAAACGAACCGAGCTAAGGGGGGAAACGCACCAGGTTCCGAAACAACGGGCCAGGTGTGAAAGCACCCTTAGACCTAAATTTTATAGCTATTGAAAAGTTGACACAGACTCGTAGAGGAGGGAATTTAGAACGTAGACTTTTGCAAAATTAATGTAGGTGGATTTTTGATCTTAAAAGTCTACACCCTCTTGGTATGAATGAAGATTTGTCTTTGAATTATTTTTTTTTTATATAATTTAACGATATGGGGGACTTGAAGAGTACGTGGGTATGATGTTTATTGATTGTATACACAAAAACTGATGTTAAGAACTATTGTTGGAGTCATGAGATCATTATTGGTGTATATGTATATTTTGTTTGTATATTTTGTTGATATAGTTGTATATGGTTAATTTGGGATGACATAAATGTATTTGCTGTATTTTGTTATAGATTTTAGATATATATGTGTATTTGTTTAAAAGATCTTTGTGATACTAGGGGTATTACGGTAATACATGTTTTAATGAGCGCAGGTGCTGCTTGGTAGCACGTGGCACTGAGGAAGGGTTAATACCCGAAAACGTTCTGCACTTGCACTTTTGCACTTCTATCCACATATTTTTGTGACCTCTGAACAATAAATGGAATAAGCTTTTTGAGCTGCATTTGGACGAGTGCGGATCTCTTTCATCTTTGTATCTTTTGGATCTACGCACCATATGTTTTTTGCCTACTGGATATTTGGACGAGTGTTTGGCGCTACACTCTAAAAAATGCTGGGTTAAATATAACCCAGCTATTGGGTTGTTTTGACCCAAAGGTTGGGTTGTTTTGTGGGAGGAGAGTATTACAATTAATCACACAACGCGATTTACTAACGTTTGCGCTCGTCAAAGTACTGGTATTTGCACCATTATTTAACGCCAAAAAAAGCATGTCTTAAAGCAGGTGGTAATTTGCGCTGCACTTGGTAGAATGCACTGGTCATTATGGAAATGATCAGGCTACATCTGTGTTCTGTGTGAGCATTGTTAGTAAATCACACACAGAATTTCCCCTCCCATCAGCGCTTTCATGGAATTGCGGTCTAATGCTAATTTGCCCTGTTTAGTAAATCTGACCCTATATATGCAACTAAAATCCCCAGGAGGTGGCGGCAAGTCCCTGAATGAGCAAATTATTCATTCAACTCATTCGTTCAAATGGCTGATTCATTCAGAAATGAAGACTGCTTGTAAATGGCTCACTGAATCCTTGGCTCACTTGATTTGTTCATAAAGTGTGTTGCTCAGAAAGTCATAACAGTTCTGCTGTGGTTTCGCATTTACAAACTATTTTTGTTGCTGAAATTGGGCAAAAACAGACAATACTGACAATACTGTGTCTAAAATGTAACACAAGAGTAACTTCTTGTTTATTGAACTGTTGTATAAAATCACTACTAGATTGTCAAGCATGCAGATATTCTGAAAAAAAAAAAACCTGCACTCTTGCTCGTGTGATATTGGTAAACAATTTTAATGAGGAAAAAAAATTAACTTAAATGATTTTAGCAAATGGCTGCAATATAACAAAGAGTGAAAAATTTAAGGGGGTCTGAATACTTTCCGTACCCACTGTAAATACATGACAAAAACCCATGCGAGGCATTTTTTGCCCTCATATCCTGAATTTTAGGGGCATTTAACTGCATTATAATTGACTCCATCACACAGTCAGACGTCGCCTTGCATCATGTTCATTAGCAACAGCATTAGATGACGTCAACATTTTTACGTGTTATTTTTTTTCCATAATTAATCATAAAAATTTAAAGCGTTGAATCAACAGGCCTAACAAAATGCAAGACATCCTGTTTATTTTGCAATGTGGAATTAACAATTTTCTTTGAATGTGCTGATTGAATTTGAAGATTTTATTAGCCACTATAGGTTAATAACTAGATGCATAAAGTGTGGTAAACAGTAAAACTATATGCACTACAAAACAAGTGTGTTTATGAATACGATTAAGGCTGTCACGATTCCTCGAATAAATTTGTGTACTCAATTAAAAAAAAAATCCTCGATTGCATTTTGCCCGTGTCGAATAACCGGCAAAATACCGGAAGTGGTGCATTCCACGGACGAGAATCCATGAAACGCATTTTAAACCGTTTACCATGGCTGCATGATATGTTAAACCCATTTAAAAAATCATAATAAAACATAATGCTATTGTGAATTCACAAACGCTACGATTCAATTAAATAAAATGTATGCGATGCAGGTTTAATACATGTGCTTTAATTATTTACATGCATGTTGGTTATGTACGTTCGTGTCAGAGTTGCTCTGTTCACAGTAAATGCTGCTACACATAAACTGTTATCATTTACATGTGTGGAGGTATTTGTTATAATATGTAATGTACGTTAGCTCTGTTGTTTATAATACTTTATGTATTTTAACTGTTTTGTTCAATAAAACCATATGATTACTTGCTTTTGATACTTTATTTGAACTAATTATTACTGCCTAATTGCTATTATATATGTATTTTAAGTACTTTTAAAGGCTATTGGTCTATTTTTATTATTACAAAAAATTATTATAATTATCTGATTACTCGATTAATTGTCAGAATAATCTACCAATTACTCGATTACCAAAATAATCATTAGTGACAGCTAATTACAATAATATATTAAAATAAAATATCAAAAGTTTATGATATCAAGCAGCATAACAGACTGTTTTTGTACAGATAACTGGCAGAGGATACACCAGAAGAAAGTACTGAAAAAAAATGTAAGGTATAGAGGTTTTTTTTTTTTTTTTTTTTTTTAAGCTGAACTTCTTTCAACTTGATCGCTGAGTTTTGGGAAATGTTGTGTCATGCATGAGATGTTGCAAAAGAAGCGAGACGCAAGTGCGATGGTCAAACATGGTCAAACACAGCAGAATGCAAAAACACGTTCTGTGTGAACGGCCTCTAGACAGTAGACAAGATTCAAGATTTCATTTGTCACATACAAAGTTGTATACAGAATACCACCTGCAGTCAAATATAAATAATGTCCGCTCCATAGACAGTGCATATATTTTATTAAGGAAATGCATGAACATAGAAATAATAATGAAAGACAAAAGCAAACCTGAAGCAGTGCAAAGAGTGTATACAACAGAACTGAGACACAATAATTATTCAATTGTATGTGAATGTGCCAAAATTAAGCAAAAATTACTGCAAGGCATTTCACTAGGTTTGCAACTTGGTTAGTCGGAAAACAAAGAAAATGTTAAAATAATAAAACATTGTCCAGTTTCAGATAGATTTACCTTGATGCTGCGAAGAAACTGGTGACCTGGTAACCGAAGCTAGCATAGTATGCATGCTCCATGATCGCCATCAGCTGAATACAGTTATAACCTGGGTGTATGACAGTAAAGAGAGCAGCGCTTATTAACAGATCTTTGCCAAAAATCAGTATTCTCTCATTTACTCGCCCTCATGCCAATCCAAACCCTTATGAATTGCTTGCTTTAGTGGAACATTAGATATTTTGAAGAATGTTCATGTAGATATTTTCCATAAAAACTAAAAGTTACCTAGACACAGTTAATGTTGTGTGTTCATCACACAAAGCTGTCATATTGCTTCAAAAAACATGTACTGTAATACAGTATGTACTGTAACAACTTATGGTGTTGTTTATTATTTGTATTTGGTATTATTATTATTATTATTATTATTATTATTAAAATATTAAAAATAATAATAGCGTAATATTTAACAGTAAATATAGTATAATAATAATAATAATAATTATTATTATTATTATTATTATTATTATTGTTATTGTTATTATTATACAAGATTTGTGGATGACCTACACTTTTAAAGAAGCTTCAAATCTAATCTTTTAAGATTATTATTTGTTAATAACTGTTTTTTAGCTACAGCAAACCTTTAGCTGTGACTTTTAGCTATACCGTTTTTTTGCAAAACAAACATGTTGCAGCAAAAAGTACAAATTCTGCTGTTCTGCTGATGTTGTGTCATCCCCACTGCAGTGTGTACCAAATGCCCACGTAGAGAACCACGGCTTCACATAATTTCAAAACAGCCGTTTTCATTAACGAGAGGATATTATACAACAGTCAAGCAAAAATAATACATTGTCAAGGCCACAGAAAACCTTATCATGAAAACACTACTCAGGTTGATCCCAAGCAACCACAGTACAATGAATACGGCCGTCAAACCCAACAAAACATCTTCCTTCTTCCCCCTTCAGCTCTGACCAGTAAGTGTCCACTACAGAAGCTGGTCTTTTATGCGAACACAAAGTGGCCACCCGGACACCCCGTCTGAATGACTCATTGGGTCATACACAAGTCTTATCTGTCCGGATAAGCCACAAAACCAGCGTTTCGGTTCCCCACGCAGGCTGTAGCTGCCCTGACATGGCTTTGAATCTGTACGGGAAGAACTCAAGAGGGAGATCCAGGCTTGTCTCACATCGTTTTTTTCCTGAACAGATTGGTTTATTTATTTATCTATATATCTAGCTATCTTCCTCGCCCTGCTTCAGAGAAAGTTTGGGGATTTTTGATGAGGTGTGACAGCGCCAGGGGCTCGTCTCACCGACGATGCGTGAGCGAACACGTACACACACACACACACAGAGAGCACTTTTCGACGCTTTTTAGATACCAGAACCACAATTGTCTAGGGAAATGCAACTGGTTACCACAAAACAATGAGAACTCAAGGGAGCAACAGAAACAATGCAACAACACTGGTTTAGTGCATGGACATATGCATGAATTATTCTATCATAATATTTGTTACTGCGAATGGCATCGTGGGACGTTATGTGGGAAGACGGTCATTTTTAATCTAAACATGCAGGCACACATACTTCTGTTTTGCCTACGAGCAATAAAAAAGTATTTTTGCATATTTTTGTATTTTTCGAGGAAAACTTGAGTGGTGTCTGGGCCTATGCAACTTACAGGCACAATGTTGGAGTGGGTCTGAATGTTTTCAAAGATTCCCATGTTTCTAAGATGCTAAAAGATCCCACCTCCATGATATTTCTATAGAATTACTGTGCCCACATATAGATGGGGCCCTCAGGGGCCTCTGTGGCCCAATACGAGGTATGTTTATATTCTCCAAAAAGAGAACATTCCATGTTTCCATGATTGTCTACTAGGGCTGGTCGATATAGCTAAAAAATGTATCAACAATATAATGTTTCATATTGTTCTGTATCGATAATTATTTACATTTTTTATAACCTTTTTTAAAACAAAGAGCAATAGAAAAAAAAAGTTTAAATTTACCCACTGTATTTTTAACTTAACCCAATTTATTGAGACAAACAACCATTTTTTTTTGTTTGTTTTAACAGTCAAACACAATAAAAATTAAACAAATATATAATTTATTATGTTTTGTATGCAGATTAAATAGGTCTTAAGGAAACTTTTGGCTTGTCTCCTGAGGCCACAGGAGGGCGCAATGGGCAAAATAATACAGCACATAATGTTAACGCAGGGAAATAACTGTCTATAAAAAACGTGCATTACGTCTAAATTAACTCATATAAATCAAATATAATTATGTTTTTTTTTTGTTTGTTTTAACAGTCAAACACAATAAAAATTAAACAAATATATAATTTATTATGTTTTGTATGCAGATTAAATAGGTCTTAAGGAAACTTTTGGCTTGTCTCCTGAGGCCACAGGAGGGCGCAATGGGCAAAATAATACAGCACATAATGTTAACGCAGGGAAATAACTGTCTATAAAAAACGTGCATTACGTCTAAATTAAATCATATAAATCAAATATAATTTCGTAAATTGCATAAACAATTATGAACAAAACAGCATCATGTATTTATGCATTGCTTAATACAAAGAGCCAAATCGCTCATCACGGAGATTGCATTTAAAAACATAAGAGACGCAGTGAAAAGGAATAAACCTCCACAAGTTTGCGACATGTTTTCTAAAAGTTTAAACTGTTTTAACTTTGCGTGAGACGCGAGTGCAGCAGTCATATTTGTCCGTCTAAAATGCGTTGAATATGCATCTGTGTGAATGTCTTTGTTTCGGTTTTCAACTAATCAAGACCTTCTCCGCATTGAGCTTCTATATTTCTCTAATATTTTGAACGCATAACACAGCAGCGGCGCATCTCGTGGGCTAGACTAACAAAACATTAAAATGCAACGTCGCTTACATCATCACCGCATCTTGTGCGCCACTGATGATGCTCCCTGATGGACTCCTAACATTCAAATGCAAATGTTTATTTTAAATTCGACTAATATTATTATTTTTTATTCACAATCTCCTCATCACAGGCAGGCACAGCACTCAATTCAGCATGTGTTTGTGTGTGCTGTCTGCGTGACTCATAGCACGTGCCTATATCGTGCACTATATTGAACATTTTTTATATCGTTATCGAAGAAGGTGTACCGTCGATAAATACCGATACCGTTTTATCACCCAGGCCAATTGTCTACTTCTAAAAGTTATGTTCTAAAGTTAAAATGTTGATTTAATAAGGCCATCACCAACTCATCCTGAAATAAAAATGTCAGTTAAATTAAAATAAACAGATAGATATAAACAAACAATTACATTTCAAACAAAATTAATGTTGGAAACATATGCATATAAAATTAGGAAAAAAAAATAATTTTAGTCAACAACCTACACAAAAAATTTCAAACAGAACCTAAACAAACAAACAAACAAACAAAAACTAGCAACCACCCCATTACAAAAATATTACAAAAAACAAAATGAAAACAAACACAACAACAAAAAAACAAACAAACAAAGAAGTTATGTTTCAAAGAAACAGATTCTTAGCAAGATCTTCTCCAGGTCTAACAGTGTTATTCTAGTAAATATGGATGGATGGATGGATGGATAGATAGAAATACATACATAAATGAAACATGCATATAAAATTAGACAATAAAGAAATGTTAGTCAATGACTCTAACATAAATAAATAAATAAATAAATAAATAAATAAATAAACAAACAAATAACTAAATAAATAAATAAATAAACAAACAAACAAATAAATAAAAGACCAATGCAAACAAATCAAAACAAAAAAACAAACAAACAAAAAGGTTCTGTTTCAATGAAGCAGATTCTTAGCCAGATATTTTCCAGTTCTAACAGTGATATTCTGCTAGTTAAAGTTAAATTTTGATTGAATAAAGCCACCACCTACTCAATACTCATACTGAAATGAAGAAAATTACCATTTAATTCAAACACCAAAAAGCACACTCCTTTTATAAGCACTTCAACGGATTCAGACTCTCTGACTGAGATAAATGTTTGGAACTTCTGTTGTAAAAATATATATATATATCACCCCTATGCCTACACCGCAGGCATCTCTTGACAAATATTCCTGTCAACAATAAATGTTTCAAAACAAAGTCCAGGATCCAGGAAGCAAAATATAATGGATGTTATTAAAGAGATCATTCACCCAAAAATAAAAAAAAATATGTTATCATTTACTCTCATTTCACTCCAAACCTGTTCGTCTTTGTTTTTGAGTGATACACTAAAGGAGAAATGCTAAATAATGTGCTGGTTGCTCTTTTCCATGCAATTAGCAGTCATAGTAGAAGAACGTCCTGAATTGAAGTCATTCACTCATGTTTATCCTCTCCAGTGAGTTGTTAAATGCTTTGACTCAAGAACTCAAAAACCAGATCAGTCTGGTTTAGAATGGTTTTGTGAACTGTATCTTACCTCGGTCAAAAACAGACCAATACAAGTTCCCATTTGTTTATCACATAAAGCTATTATATGGCTTTGAATATAATCACATTATAATGCATTTATTGCATATGTTTTGTCATTTTGGTATCTGAGAGCGAGAGTCCCCATTCACATTCCTTAAATAGAAAAAGTGACCAGGACATTTTTCTTTTTTTAATTAATCTTTTATGTTCCACAGATGAAATTAAGAATTTTCAAATTTAGCGAACTATCACTCTAACTGTCATATCACCCCAATCTCTAATCCACAGGCTTCTAAACCTCATCGTCTGTGCCTGGTAAATACTTGAAAATACCCCCTGCATCTCCAAAACACATCGGCACACTCAAACACACCTCTCTCCAGCTCTCATCCACGACAGCACTAATGAACACTCCACATGGTGGCTAAAGCCTGTAAACAGGGTGTTGACCTGCAGAAAGGGGCTTGGTTGAGAGAGCAGCCTCCCCAGAACATTGGCACCAAGGCCAGTGGCTCATCATCAATGCAGCAGGTCTGTCAGGTTAAGCACCACTGCAGCTCAGATATTTTGTGATGAAGGAGGAATGTTGGCAGGTAGAACATAACCTCTCTCCAGGCTAAAAATAA